CGCCCGGCTCGGGCTGCTGGGAGCGGGGCAGCCCGGCCAGGCCGCAGCGTTCGTCGTGGCGTAGCGCGGGTCCCCGGCCGGGCTCGGTGGCCAGTAACCCGCGCTGGGGGTGTCTCGGCTGCTCGCGGTGTCGGGGAGCGCTGGGCTGGGGAGCGCCAGCCTCTCCTTGGGCGATTGCTGCCCGGGCGAGGAGATCAACAAAACGGCGTCCTTTCGGGGAGCTACATAAACCTTTTGAAGTCGGATCGAAGGATTCGCTCTCTCTGGGAGAGCAAGGCTAGGCTGGGAGGTTGCCAGGCTGGTGAAATGCCGGGGAAAACGCATTTCCAAGGTGGGCTGAAAGCTCTTGCAAGTACACGGGTATTCGAGGCAAAAGAAGGAAGAGCGTATTTCTTGCTTGCAGCCGAAAGGAAAGAAGGCCAAGGGCAAGAAGGTGGCACCGGCCCCTGCTGTAGTCAAGAAGCAGGAGGCCAAGAAGGTCGTCAATCCCCTCTTTGAGAAGAGGCCCAAGAACTTTGGCATTGGTGAGTAAGTGGGTATTTGGGCTACTCGCTCAAGGCTTTTTTGTTGTCTGGACAGACGTCTGAACCGTAAACAGAAGCGTATTGTAATAAAGCTGTGGAGTGGAGAGAGCGATGAAGGCAGTTGCCTGGCTGGCTGCCTGCAATTAAGAGCTGTCCTTCATTAGGTGTATGAAGGTGGCTATGGACAGTTTGCTGAATTTCCCGTATTAACACAGATCCATTATATATTATACATATTATTATATATTCTCTTGCGATGAATCTTGCCCTTTTGCGTGTGGTGTGGTAAATCAGACTTCTGTAGTGCCGTTTTTGTGCGGCGTGCAGATGATGTGAAAAAATATTTGCCATCTGAGTGATAGTGCTGACATGTCGCCACCAAGATCACTGATGCACTCGTGCCTATTCCATGCTGTTGCTGCGTGGGTTTGGAACAGCTTTGAGTTAAAGTCCGTATTTTTAGGACAGGATATCCAGCCGAAGCGTGATCTCACACGTTTTGTGAAATGGCCGCGTTACATCAGACTGCAGCGCCAGAGGTCCATTCTCTACAAACGCTTGAAGGTGCCTCCTGCCATTAACCAGTTCACTCAGGCTTTGGACCGCCAGACAGGTAAGGATGTGCCCCACAAAGTTCTCTTGGCTTGGGTCGTTAATGGGATGTGCCTCAGAGAAGAGGTTTCTTTTGAAACCAAACTTAAGACTTAACAAGGATAAGCTGGAGAGTATCTTCGGAAGCATTTTAGGGAGGTTTTAATAGTGACTGGGGTGATGTCAACAGCAAGCTGCTGTCTGAATTTGCTGGCTTAAGTCTTGATACCAGCTACGTACTTTGAAAAGGGAATAGAAAATACCAAAGCTCCTACCTGATGACCCAAACCCAGGGTTATCTTAACTGCATGTTTCCATCGGGGTCCGTTCTTCCAGCTTGATGTAGAACCATGTAGGGTTCTTTTAACTGTGTAAACAGATAGTTTGAGAAATCTATATGAGTGCAGGCTTTGGGGGGGAAAGCCAGCATCCTGCAGGCTGACACTGATACGGGGAAGAAGGGACTTCAGGGTCTTCTGTGAGACGAGTAAATAGTCTTTTCCAGGTGACAGTGTCTATGCAAGAAACTTTCAGCCTATGTAGAGTAACTCCCTCGTAGATGTTGCCAAACAAGTTGCTTGCTTTAAAGGAGAAAGTGCACCACCTTTAACTGTAATTGCTGTGGGGGTCACCGGGCATTTCCTCATCCAAACAGTGAAGGAGCTCTCGTTGCCAACAGAGGTGCACGTAGAGGTAAATGCAGGCTCTAGAGGCACTCTGCTCCTGCACTGTGCAAATGATGCTAACTGCTGTCTGAATACACCTGATGACAACCACCAAGATCGCTGATGCACTGCAGTCTCTTTAAAAGTAACGCTTGGATTTTTTTCAGGTCACGCAGCTAACTAACTAGTAGATGTTCTCTTCCAGCTACACAGCTTCTGAAGCTGGCGCACAAATACAGGCCAGAAAATAAGCAAGAGAAGAAGCAGAGGCTACTGGCTCGTGCTGAGCAGAAAGCTGCAGGAAAGGGAGATGCGCCAACTAAGCGGCCACCGGTCCTCCGAGCAGGTAACGTACGTGGACTTGGCTGCTTGCATGTAGGGGGGCGTGGCGCTTTGTTAGAGAGAGAACTGGTGAGTTGGTGCTCTGCTCCAACCAAGCAGGACTGGACAAGCTATTGCAATGATGTATGAATTTCTTCACCTGAGCTCAAAGTGAAGAGCAAAACAGACGAGCTTTTTAACCCTGAGCTTTAGCAGATGTCCGTGGAATATCTTCTCTGTGCTACTGAATGGATGTGAAAAGTGTTCACAACTTCCGTAATGAAGCTGCGCTATGGAATCTGAGCTGGTTGTATGAGGCTTATGTGAAAGCTCTGAAAATAGACTGAGCAGAATCAAAGCTTACCTATAACTTGTTTTTCAGGTATTAACAGTGTCACAACTCTGGTGGAGAACAAGAAAGCTCAGCTCGTAGTTATTGCCCACGATGTAGACCCCATTGAGGTAAGCATACTCGCTGGTAAATGTTACAGCCTACCTGTGTAACTTCGCTGAGGGCAGAACTGGGCTTGGGGTGAAAATGCATTTTAGGACAAATTTATTGCATGAAAAGAGAATGCATAAAAAGACACATTCGCCAGAACTGGAATACTTCAGCATGTTCGTAGTTGTCCTGGTGAGGCTTGGCCCTTGCAATGATGTATGAACATATTACAATGAGGCTTGGCCCTTGCAATGATGTATGAATTTCTTCACCTGAATCAACAGTGAAGAGCAAAACGAGCTTTTTAACACTGAGCAATTGCCACAGCCCAGGCTGATTCAAAGAATAAAAAGATGTTCTCCCTCAGTTATACAGCACACTCCCTTTCTTTTTAGCTGGTGGTCTTCTTGCCAGCTTTGTGCCGCAAGATGGGAGTGCCGTACTGCATCATCAAGGGCAAAGCCAGACTGGGGCGACTGGTCCACAGGAAAACTTGCACCTCCGTTGCTTTCACCCAAGTTAACCCGTAAGTATTCGCTGTGCTGACTTGATCCACTGTAGTGGAGAAAGCAAACTGCCCGTAAGCACGGGCTGTAGGGCAGATGGATATCAAACTTGGGTCTTTCTAGTTTAAAGTAGTAAAACTAAAATACCACTTCTGTAATGTCTGATGTAGATGTCCTTTTGTATTAAGAGCTCTCCCGGATCCTGAAGATACACATTACTTTGGCTTACCAAAATGGATAGTTACTCTAAAATACGTAGATGGAACTATTAACCTTAATCTGAGCGCTGCAGGTTCCTAAAACATTGGTGGTTGGAGTGATTAACCCTTTGCAAACGATGCTTATGCTTAACCTGAAAAATGACGTTGCCACTTAAATACCGAGGCAAAAGATTTATGGAGAATGTTAAATTGAGGCTCTAAAGGAACTAAAACTATCACCAACAGGGAGGATAAGGGAGCCCTCGCAAAGCTGGTGGAGGCTGTCAAGACCAACTACAATGACAGATATGATGAGGTAAGATTTTCTCTGTTGCTAGCCTTGTTTTTTAATTTATACTGTTAAGATCCCCAAAAGCTTCCCAATGAAATGCAAATCATTTCAGACATAGCGACATCAGCTTAAAGCCTGTTGGATGTGGTGTTCCTAGATTTGCTTATGATACATCCAGATTCTTTACCTGAGGATAGTTACAAGTAAAGTTACAAGTAAACGGAGCTATCACAGGGCTAGGATTGTAGAGGGCAACAGCTTCTGCTAGGCTCAACTCCATCCCCCAAGTCCAGAAGTTAACGTGATGGCTGAATCCAGCACCATTCATGGGGAAAGATTTTAAACTCTTGTATCTGTGCTGCCCCGAAATGTAGTTCACTGCTTGAAATGCGTAGGGCTTCCTAGTTGAGGGAGCTCTTCCCCTTGTGCAGAAAGTGTAATTGAGCAAGTTGATTGAATGACGTAGTAGGAGATTGTATGAGGCATCTAACCTGTTCTCACTTCTTTGCAGATCCGTCGTCACTGGGGTGGTAACGTCTTGGGTCCAAAATCAGTGGCTCGCATTGCTAAGCTTGAAAAAGCAAAGGCTAAAGAACTGGCTACTAAGCTGGGCTAAGGATGTACTGGATTGCTACCGTGTTTTCTGTACATAAAAAGAATAAACCCCCAGATGAAGTGTCAGCGGCCTCTATTTAATGGGAGCGTTCCAGGCGGGGGGTAGCACTTTAGCATTGCCTTACTTCTCTGCCTTCCATCAAATGATTGGATAGTGCTGCAGGGAAACAGCTGCATAGAGCAGGTTATTACTGTACTTGGAACAACTGCCCTTAACTACTAGTCCTATGTAGTAATGCTTCGCCTTTGAACGCACAGCCCATCAACAGCAGCTCAGCTGCACATGCTGTGTGATCATAAAGTTGAATGGGCTAGGCTAGTTCTGGCTTTTGCCTTCCATCAAATGATTGGATAGCGCTGCAGGGAAACAGCTGCATAGAGCAGGTTATTACTGTACTTGGAACAACTGCCCTTAACTACTAGTCCTATGTAGTAATGCTTCGCCTTTGAACGCACAGCCCATCAACAGCAGCTCAGCTGCACATGCTGTGTGATCATAAAGTTGAATGGGCTAGGCTAGTTCTGGCTTTAAGCCTAGCTTGCTTATGCAAATCTCTCTCAATTGGAAATGGCTCTACATCATCTCTGTTAGTACTTAAGACTTGGTTATAGTATGGGTTATATTGGGTGTTAGAACATTTTACCAGGCTAACCAGATGGGGACCTCCTATTGGGAGGTCTGTAATGCCTCTTCCAGGGCAAGAACGGTCGGTGAAGGCAGGCCGAAGTGGGGGAAGAACCTAGACCTTCTTGTCCTGTTCTTTCCCGATTGTTGACTTGGTCTTGTGGCATTGTTGGAGGCTACCAAGCTTGATAAGGCTCCAGCTGAGCTAGCTGCTGCTTGTTTTTGCTAGCTCTCATCATGCTCTTGCAAAGGCACAGGCTGCCTTACCCAGCTAGACCCGAGTATCCACAGTAACCTTTAGTTCAGGTCTGTCACTGTTAAGATAAAGATGCACAATGCAAGTCACAACGTGAGCACCTATAAGCCCTCTTTATTTATTCTGATGCAACTGCTGTGAACCACTCCTGACTTCAGGAATGACTACTCAGGGCAAAGAAACTTTGATTCAAAGGCACAGGCTGCCTTAACCAGCTAGACCCGAGTATCCACAGTAACCTTTAGTTCAGGTCTGTCACTGTTAAGATAAAGATGCACAATGCAAGTCACAACGTGAGCACCTATAAGCCCTCTTTATTTATTCTGATGCAACTGCTGTGAACCACTCCTGACTTCAGGAATGACTACTCAGGGCAAAGAAACTTTGATTCACAACACCCTTGCCGTCTTTTGGAAAATACAGCAGTGGAGAAGTTAAAATGTTGTAGCTTACAACCAACCACAATGGAAAAATGTATCCTTGAGATTACTGCATAAATCAGCTTCACTAGAAGGCTCGACTGCCACTTACAATTTTGAAGTTCGGTGCTTCCAAGCTGCAGCCAGAGTCACCGCACTGCTAGGAGCTCAGAGCCTGCACCGCTGCTTAAAGTCTATTTGCAGCTTGATAGCTGCACACGTTTACTCAACATGTTGCCCTGAAACTGGGCACTTCAGTTATTCAGGACTGATCGGACTGCTGTCTTCTATAAAAGTCTGCTCTTGACTGTAGCATGGAAGAGAAGAAATTACCCCTTCCTCTCACAGAGGTATTTTTTGTATAAATTTTCTGTACCACAAGAATGAAGTTGCAGCACATAAGCCATACCTATGGAAGAAAACAAAACCACACGTTTACACCTTCTTTTCAAGATGGACTGGAGCTCCCTAAGTCAGCTGCGGTGCAATAAAACACAATTATTTCAAATCACCTTGCAAATGTTACTTAGGTTAAAACTTTAGGCTTTTGTAGCTTAAGAGCTCATCCAGTCTCACCCGTGCAGGAGCAAGAACGCCAGGCAAAAATTGCTCCCTTGCTTTCAACAGAACGCAGCTCAAAGCTTTACCTTCAAAAACCCCACGGAATGCCAGTCAAACACTGGCTGGGTAACTTACCAGGTAATGATGTACTGCATGTGCTCGTTTCTCAGGCTCACTCTTGTCTGGCCTCCGATGGGCCCCCCTGGGACTGTGCTTCCTATAGGTACGACACAGCGCACAAGTTAAATCTCTAGTCTGCACCGCGTAGAGCTGCCCTTGCTGTGAGAAACGGGATGAAGGTGGTCAGTCATCTGGATACCCTGCTCCTCTTCCTCAGGCAACGGTGTTCCCAAGTTACCGGCAAAGCCAGAGCTGTGGGGCGGGCGGCCCTACAGCAAGCGGCTGGTTGTGCTCAAGGCATCGAACACCACCTGCATCTCCCGAGCATGCTACCGTTCCCCAGCGCTGGCTGCCTATCACCTTCAAAATAGTGAACCTAGCAGAGTACACAAAGAAGAGAAAGATGCGATACCTTTCCAAGGGCCCAGGGGAAATAACTAACTGAACGGAAAGGCGGGGAGACCAATGTAAATTGGTGTGGGGTTGGGTTCCTCTGTGACTTACTGAAATCTGCATCGATAAAGATGGGCTCAGCACCGGTCACCTTTGCCATAGCCTCCAGGTCACGGTAGTGCCAGCGGTTTTTCTCGATGTTGTTTTCAGGCACAAAAGGTTTCCGGGTTTCTGATAACCTCACCACCCCAGTGAGATCAATTTCATCTTCAATCTGAAGAGAAGTGCAGAGGAGAAAAAAGGAATCTTTCAAGGTTCGTTTCATATTCTGGCGTGCCAGGTCCTGGCAGAAAAAATAGGGCACTTGTGGGGTCCGATTACAAATCAACTGGTCGTGCCCTGCAGCGGGGCAGTGCTGTAACACAGCAGGGAAAAAGGCAGATCAAGAACAGCTCCTTGTCTGTAAAAAACATTATTTACTTAACAAAAAGGTGGGAAGAAAAGGTTTATCTTCTTTGAAAAGCGCAATGACTAAGTAACCTCCCATGATGCTGAACATGGCTGCTGCCTTTCTTGGTTTGTCAGTAGTGCCTCTGGGTAATCACAGGGCAGAAAGTAACACACAACATTCCCTGTATCCCCCTTACCTGTCCTTTCAGCCTGGTCTCCGGTTTCAATTTCTTTTTGGGCACAAATCCTCGGTTGACTAAAATCGTGACCCTAGAGTTACATAGAGAAGCACGGCTCATGAGCGAAAGGAAATTTATTCCTGCTACTGCCTAGAACTAAGTGCCAAAGAAAGAAGCAACCCATGCGTTTGGTGCCACTTTTTTTGTCATCTGAGTGAACGTTATAGGAGAATTTAAATACAATTTCAAATCAAGCCTCAGTGACCTAACAGACTGACAGAGATGCCTTTAATATAAATGCAATTTATATAAACCCAACCACCATGGTTCAGCTTTTCAAAACAGGAGCGAGTTGCTCACATGAACCACAACTTTCATTAACTTACCCTAGTTCTGTGCAGTAGAAAGGAGTAACGACATTTGCTCCATTTTCTGGGTGGGATGTCAGCCGCCCGGCTTCTCTGGCTTCTCGCTCAGGGTCCACAAGTGACCGTGGCAAAATATAGAGCTCCTTGGAGTGGTCAAAATGCCCTCGGACCTTTACAGGTCTGTACTCCAATTCCTTCAATTCCATGGGGCTGCATGGAACAAGATGAAAACAAAATCATGGCTGCAAATAGGCAAATCAAATGAGGGGATTTTATCGTGGGATTCTCCTTTTCCCTAACGGTTCACTCTAGAGCCACTTGGCAAACAGAAACAGAAGACAAACACCTCATGGAATAAGCAGCTGGCTTAGTATTTTACTACTGCCACAGTGAATCAAATCGAGATGATCATTGAGTATCCAGAGAGCAGTTCTTTTCCATGACATCTGTAACCCAGTGCCACTCCAACGGCACACGCAGCTGATCAGCAGGTGGGTACACTGCATGTGCATCCAGCCAACAGGGAGCGTTTCTTTCCCATCCCAGACCATGAAATGGAACAACTGATCTGTTTTGACAGTTGTGCCATACGGCCAAGTGACCTTAAAAATCTCTCTCATATCTGACACAACTGCTCCACACTTGGGGCAGGGCCTGCTATCGATCCAAGACTCCCTGTTGCAGGAATAATCCCTTTGGGACATCACAGACACAGCTACCGAGTCCTGCTTCTCCAGGAGGATTACATATGGTATGAACTACACACCACATTCTCCTGAACAGAGATTCATCCTTTTTACATGCATTTAGAGTATCCCACAGGGAAGCGTTCACTCATTCTTTTACCAAAAGTAAGAAAATTAACAGGATGTCTATCTTTCTAATTTGCTTGCACGTCCTGATTCCCATTGCATTCCTTCATTTTCACGCAGTTTAGTTTAGCATGAGCTCATTAGTGCAGGGACCATATCTAACATCCCCAGCGCACTGTCAGTGCTCTGTAGACAATAAACTAGCTCAGCTTCCGTACTCTAATGTCAGAGGGATGGGCTCTGATGTAATTCTTGATGCCAGTTGTGCAATCAAATCTAATTTCCACTTTCGTCGCTGAACCTGAAAGTACACAAACACAAAAGTAATTCCTTATGGTAGAACACAGCAATGTAAGAACCCCAGCAAGCCTCAAAATCTTTGTCATAAGTTCCTCCTCAGACCTGGCCTAAAACAGGGTAATTCGAGGTATGGAGATGGAGGCTACTGACTTTAATTTGAGGAAATATTTATACTGAAATACAAGTGTAAAAAATAAGAATCTCTCCTTTAAAGACTTACAAATGGACACTTGGAAAACAGAAAGGTAAAATAACAGCAAATCTTTACCCTGTATGTGATTTGAACTAGATTAAACAGCCAGAGACAGAAAAACCTGGTGGCCCTCAAGTACTCATCTCTTGAAAAAATTAAATACTTATTTGTACCTGCCAAGTGCCGAGACAGAACGTGGTCACAGGGACCAGGAAAAGGCCCCATTTGAGTAAGATGTCCTCTCCAGATGCATCAGCAGCTGTTGTAGAACTTCGTGGTCTGCAGAACCTCAAATAAACGTCTAGAGAAAAACAGAATGAGGAATAGGATTTGTACAGGAGAGGAGATGCCAAGTTCCTGCAGAAAATGTCACCTCTTGGTATAAGGTTGAAACAGGGCAGAAGCCCAAGCAAATCTTTTCTTACCTTTAGTCTGCTGGACCAGACCAGAACCTGCTTTAGCTAGGGGATACCCAAAAAATGTTCTTCTGATCAAGCAATGCGATACCTACATGAAATAAGAAAGATCCTTTGTAGTGTCTCTGCTTTGTAAAATTTGTATCCAGATGATACCAGTTGCCTCAATGATTCCATGAAATTTTGTTTACTCATTGATATAAGTCTCATCTGAGCGACTGCCTGTGAAACACTACGGGTTAGGTTATAAT